AGATGCCTGCTGGCTCCCCCCTTCTGATCCAGCTCCCTGCTCACGCACCTGGGAAAGCAGCAGAAGATGGCCTGAGAGCTTGGGCCCCTGCACCCATGAGGGAGATCAGATGGAGCTCCTGGCTCCTGGCTTCAGCCTGACCCAGACCTGTCTGTTACAGCCATTTGGGGAGTGACCCAGCAGATGGAAGATCTCTCTCCAGCTCTTTCTCTCTCTCTGTCTCCTTTTTTATTTATTTGAAAGTCAGAGTTACACTGAGCGAAAAGAAGAGGCGGAGGGGGAGAGAGAGAGGGAGAGAGAGAGAGAGAGAGAGAGAGAGAGGTTTTCCATCTGCTGGTTCACTACCCACCGGCCACAATAACCAGGAACCAAAACCCAGGACAAACTCCTGCTCATTAGGTTGGTCATCTGTAGGAAGAGGGCCAGGCTGAGAGAGAGAGAGAGAGAGAGAGAGAGAGAGAGGTGGAAGTACAGACAAGTTGTCCTGCAGCTGGGCCAGACTGACCATACCCCAGGAAGCTTCCTGCAGTGGGAAGGAGGTCCTCCAGGAAGCGTGGCCGGGTCCACAGTCGTCCTCTTGTGACAGAAAGGACACAGCCCGGTCCTCACGAGGGCTGCCCTTCTTTGTCAGTCACTGGGTGCCCGGTGCTGATCAGGGTCTGGGGCAGTGCTCACCACATTCTTCCACATTAGACTCTTCTCCTTACAGAGGAGGGGCTGAGTGAGGCTTGGAAGCTGCTCTGATCAATGTCACACAGCGGTGAGTGGTGCTGAAGGCAGGACTTGAACCCAGTGTCACAGTCCACGCTGTAGTTTTCCACTCTTCTGTTTGCCTCTCCACCAACAAGCTCCCACCCTGCCTCTTGTTGCAAATAATTATTTTTTTTTCTCTGAGGCTGGCTTTGTGCTACAGCAGGTAAACTGTCAGCATGCTATGCCAGCAACCCATATGGATGCCAATTTGAGTCCCATCTGCTCTACATCCAATACATCTCCCTGCTAATGGCCTGGGAAAGCAGTGGAAGATGGCCACGTGCTTAGGCTCTGATACCCACGTGGGAGACGTGGAAGTTGCTCCTGGCTCCTGGTCTTAGGCTGTTTCAGCCCTGGCTGTTGCAGCCATTAGGAAGTGAAACAGAGGATGGACGATACCTCTCTCTCTCTCTCTGTCTCTCTCTCTCTCTTTCTCATTTCACTCTCACTCTCTCCTCTTGCTCTCTTGCTCTGCCTTACTAGTAGAAGCAAATAAAATCACTATTTCTTTTCAAAGGAAAAAATAAATCTATCACTTTGAAAGAAGCCTGTGATATCATCCTCGTCCCTGAATTCATCCCTCAAGGAGTCCCTTTGCAAATCTCAGGTCTGTTTCTGCAGTGGGCAGAGCCTCCCAGCTCCCTCAGTGCTGGCCAAGCGCCGTCCTACCCAGTCGCCCCAGTGCCCTGCACTCTGCACAGTTCCTCCCTCACACCCATTCCCTCAGGTTCTCCCTCTGTCCTTGTCTCCACACAATCCCCCTTATTCCTACTCAGCCTCTTAGTCCTGGATTCATGATCACCCTCCCCACTCCTCCTCTATGTTGTTTAAATGTAAGAAAATATTGTACACTTGTCATAAGGTCATAAATACGACTCTAAGCAAAGATAGAAATCAAAGTATTTATTCCATTACCTAATCAGTGATGAAACTGTCCAATTGTAGAGCTACTTCAGGGAGTGTTTGGAATAACAGACTATTTATGTCCATCAGTAAGGGCATTTGAAAATAAATACATTGGGGTCATCGTTGTGGTCCAGTGGATAAAGCCTCCTCCTGCAACAATAGCATCCTATAAGAGCTCCAGTTCAAGTCTCAGCTGCTTCACTTCTGATCCAGCTCCCTGGATCAGAACTGGAGGATGGCCCAAGTGCTTGGTCCCCAAGAGTCACATGGGGGATTCTGAAGAAGCTCCTGGCTCCTGGTTTCACCCTGGCCCAGTCCAGTCATTGGGGCCATTTGAGGAGTGAACTAATGGATGCAAGCACCCTCTCTCTCTCTCTCTCTCTCTCTCTCTCTAAGTCTCTCTCCCTCTCCCTCTCCCTCTCTCTATCTCTGCGACTCTGACTTTGAATAAGCAAAATAGATCTTTATAAAAAATGAAAATAAATACACTGAGTAAGAGGGTGAAGCGGCAAACATCTTATGGGGCCACAAAACTATAGGCTTTGGGATACTCAGAAAAGCACCTGATACCTTTGATCATTAAACTTCCAAAATGTATTCATTGCAAAATGTACACTGAGATGACTTATAAATCTATCCAAGTGCTATAACAGTGATGGATTTAATCACTGCTTCTGAAGCTATTAAGGCAGCAGGTGCACTTAGCTAAAGAGATCACTCCTGGGTCCCAAGCTGTGGCATAGCGGTCAAGACGCCACCTGCAGTGCCAACATCACATATGGGTGCTGGTTCAAGTACAGGTTGCTCCACTTCCAACCCAGTGGAAGATGGCGCAAGTCCTTGGAACCCTGCACCTGCTTGAGAGACAAGGAAGAAGCTTCTGGTTCTTGGCTTCGGGTCTACACAGCTCTGGGCGTTGTGGCCATGTGAGGAGTGAACCATCGGATGGAAGACTTCTCTCTCTTTGCCTCTAACTCTATGAAACTCTGCCATTCTCATAAATAAATAAATATTTAAAAAGAAGAGAGAGAGACAGATCACTCCTGTTTTGGTAAATAATATCACATCACCTGCATGTCTTCTTTTTGTGTCTCTTTCAAAGAAAGTGTTTGCATAGATAACCCAAAAGTAATGCAGTGTCATAAAGATACATGCAAAGTGTAATGAGGATAACTATGACAGCTAATATGTAAATATTTTGAGAATACTTAAAATCCAATAAGGACCCTGTAGAGTACGTGTGTATGGTCTCATTATTGGGTTGAGGCATTTTGATAAGTCTGTGAGTGCCTCAGATCCCTTTTCCTACGCGATGTAAGCAGCTCAGCGCCCTCCTCTGGGCTGGACTGTGGTTTAGAAGATTACATCAGGCAGAGACCTCTCATGAGATTTCCAAAGAGCACAGTGCAGACTTTCACAGAGGCCACCTGTGATAATCACAATATGGCAACATCACCCATGTCTCTCTGTGTCCGTGTGCTCCCTTTCCCACCCCCATAGATCCACCAAGATTCAATCACAGGGGCTCTGCCCTAACAACCTGCTCCAATCAAATCACTTCACAAAGTCCTCAACTCTACAGTAATTTGATTAAGTTTCCACCCCCTCATTACCATTAATCTACAACTTATAAGACTGCAGTCAGCACGCGCTGTGCCCGTTCGGGCGGCGGGGTCTCTGCGGGCTGCAGGTCGCACGCCACAGCCTTCCTCCAAGGCGGAAGGGGCGCACGGAAGAGGCGCGAGCGGGAGGCAGCCATGTTTGTGGCGCGCAGCATCGCGGCGGACCACAATGATCTCATCCATGATGTCTCTTTCGACTTCCATGGCCCGCGGATGGCGACTTGCTCCAGCGACCAGAGGGTCAAGGTCTGGGATAAAAGTGAAAGTGGGGATTGGCATTGTACTGCTAGTTGGAAGACACATAGTGGATCTGTATGGCGTGTGACCTGGACCCATCCTGAGTTTGGACAGGTTTTGGCTTCTTGTTCTTTTGACCGAACAGCTGCTGTGTGGGAGGAAATAGTAGGAGAGTCAAATGATAAACTGTGAGGACAGAGTCACTGGGTTAAGAGAACAACTCTAGTGGATAGCAGAACATCTGTTACTGATGTGAAATTTGCTCCCAAGCATATGGGTCTTATGTTGGCAACTTGTTCAGCAGATTGTATAGTGAGGATATATGAGGCCCCAGATGTTATGAATCTTAGCCAGTGGTCCCTGCAGCATGAGATCTCATGTAAGCTAAGCTGTAGTTGTATTTCTTGGAACCCTTCAAGCTCTCGTGCTCATTCTCCCATGATAGCTGTAGGGAGTGATGACAGTAGTCCAAATGCAATGGCCAAAGTTCAGATTTTTGAATATAATGAAAACACCAGGAATACGCAAAAGCTGAAACGCTTATGACAGTCACTGATCCTGTTCACGATATTGCATTTGCTCCAAACTTGGGAAGATCTTTCCATATTCTAGCAATAGCAACCAAAGATGTGAGGATTTTTACACTAAAACCTGTGAGGAAAGAACTTACTTCATCTGGTGGGCCAACAAAATTTGAAATCCATATAGTGGCTCAGTTTGATAATCACAGTTCTCAGGTCTGGCGAGTGAGCTGGAATATAACAGGAACAGTGCTAGCATCTTCAGGAGATGATGGCTGTGTACGATTGTGGAAAGCTAATTATATGGACAATTGGAAGTGCACTGGTATTTTGAAAGGTAATGGGAGCCCAGTCAATGGGAGTTCTCAGCAGGGAAATGTAAATCCTTCCCTAGGTTCAAATATTCCAAATCTTTAAAATTCATTAAATGGAACTTCTGCTGGCAGAAAGCACAGCTGAGTACAAGCTAACTGGAGTGACTTTGCTGTTTTGCTGCGTGTTGCATGTACACAGGAATGGAAAGCAAGCTCCTTTTCCCCTTCCCCAGCGCGTTTGACCTATCCCAAGATACACCAACAGCCTGCTTACTACTAAACACAGTCCAAAAGGCCTTTAAAAATGCAGTGGAGATCAATTTTTTTTGTACTAGTTAGTTTATTGACACTATTTGAAACTTTTGAGATATAAATGCAGAGGCTTTTTGTTGAGACATTGTCACCAAAACAATTTTTTGAAATGTTCTTGAAACTAACTTGGCTTAAAAATTAGAAGAATCATTACTATCCTTCTGAGTAGTGGGGAGGAAGGAAAATACCATTTTACTCCCTTTGGAGAATGTAGGCATGTTTCTTTTGTTTTCTAAAACAGCAAAAATGATGAATTTTTATAATTTTAATTTAAAGATTGAATAAATATCTTTCATAAAGAAAAAAAGACTGCAGTCCTGACTGAGCTTGGCAACACAAATATTAAAACCATAGCAGCTACTGTCTTCCTTACTGGTATAACTGGTTACAAGGCCAGAGGTGCTATCCCCGACTTCCTTCTTCCACTTTTCATTTCATGTCTCTCACCCTCATCAGAATTGATAGCAAGTTAGTTTTATTTTTTCTTTATTTTCATTTTATTTGAAATGAAGACAGAGAATTTCCAGACACTGATTCACTCTCCAAGTGCAAACAACAACAGTTGCTAGACAAGGCTGAAGACAGGGACAGGAACTCAATCCAGGTTTCCCACATGGGTGGCAGGAATCCAACTATTTAAGCCATCACTGAATCCTCCCAGAGTGTGCATTAGCAGGAAGTGAGAATCAGAAATAGAACCAGGACGGGAACCCAGCCAGGCATTCCAACATGGGACCCGGGGTCTCAAGTGGTATCAGGACCCCTGTTCCACGTTCCCTTCCTGGTTAAAGTGTTTTATCTGGAAGAATGAACGTCTCCTTGCTGGAAGAATATGAGTCCTCAGCAGTCCTGCTTCATTTTGTTTGCTGTGGTTTTCCACTCACTGTGACAACTGGACTTGGATCCTAAAGAGGCAATGCATCGAGTAACTAGAACCAGGCTCACGGTCAAAGCTGTCTGCAGTTGAACTTGCATCAGGAAATTCTCGTCTTCGTCTTCATCTTGCTCAGGCATCCACTGCTACCCTGCTAGCAGCTCTCTTCTTCCCACAGCTACAGTGTTGACACAGAAGGGGATCCAAGCCCTCCCCTTAGATTCCCTGAATTGACAGCAGTTTGTTCACTGGAACAGAAAATTACTGCAGTGTGGAAAATCATGTGTGTGTCCTCTGTCCCAGTATGGAAGTAAATAAAGTAGACCATTAAATACCTTTCCCCTAAAAATCCATCAGTCACTCATTTGCATGGAACTGTTCAGATGGCCAACATCTGTAGTCAAATAGAACAAACCCTCCCAGAACAGAGCTGCAGACTCTCTCAGCCTCTAGGCCCTCTGCTCTGATTCAAGTTAGATAATTGAACTCTGCTTTCTTGGGCACAGTATTTCAGACTTCAGTCCAATTCATATCCAAAGATAATTGAAAATCCATAAAAATATTTGAAGATAAAAAATATAAAAACATTTTATATTCCCATAGTAAAATTCAGCCTGTCCTAAACCAGTTCAAACAGCTGTGAACTTGCATCTTCTGCTGTTTGAACACAGGCATGAACCAGCAGTTCTCATAATCATGAGACGAGAAAGCTCTTGGTCCATCAGGACTTGACCCAGAGGCTTTGTCCCAGGAGCCTGCAGCCCCATCAAGAGTCTCACTGAGGAGTCAGGGGCAGTGAGGGCCCCTATGGGGTTCAGGGCAGCAATGGAGACTCAGCCCCTGGGGGAGCTCCATCCACTCCAGAGCCTGAGCTGAGCCCCTCCCCTGGGGGCCTCCCAGCCTCCTCCAAAGAAGGAGACTTGCTAAGAGGCACAGGGAGCCCCTCAGAGCCCCCCTCTGTGGGGCAGATACTCAGGGACACGTTTACCCAGAGCATGAAGTATGGAAAGAGGGTTCCAGAGAACGAAGTTTGAGGGAAGGAGAAAATGTGGGAGCCATTAGACATGTTATAGAAGGAGACGTCCCCCTCATCATAGTCCAGGAATATCCCCACCCTGAAGGGATCCTGCCTAAGGAACAGAAGCTGCTGAGGCTTAGTCCAGGCAAGGTAGCTATTGTGAAAGCAACCCACAACCCAAAACCCCTCATCTGGGGACTCTATGTACCTGCCTCTCCTTGTAACATGCTCCCTACAGACCCCCAGAGCCCACTTGCTGAACTTTGTGCTCTTGATCTCCACTTCCCAGTAGTATCTTCCTGATGTGATGCCCTCACGGCTCAACACACTGCAGGTGCCACCCAATCCCGCACCAGTGTACTTCCAGGTCACACTTGTCTTTTCAGGAGAGACTAAAAGACTACGATGGGCCGAATCTGGATTCAGAGTGACAGACCCTGCAGAGAGAATTTCCAATTATCCAAGGCCCATTCCTACCCCATAACAAGAATACACAACCACCCATAGACCCACCTAGCATCATGGTGGAGGGGCAAGGCCCCTGAGATAAGCAACCTGGGACTTAGGCCCATGTTCTCCAAGCAGGAGGGGGAACCAGTAGACCTCTCTGAGGTCACACATGTCAGAGCCCTTGCCAACCAGCCTGGCTTTGTTCCTGTCACTTCAGCCCCCACCCCACCACCACTGATGGTGCCAGCATCTGTACCAGCACAGAAAACTGAAGGAGAAGCCAGAGCCATGGCACCCACAGGGAGGAGCACCCAGAAAGAACACGAAGTCACTTACAGGCCTGGAACTGTTCCTTCCGCCAGTCTACAAGAGAACACACATTACATATCAGGGGTCTGCACAGACTGCACAGGTCAGCCCAGCACCTGCTCTTCTGATACATTGATGGGGGAATGAGGGAAATGTGTGGGAGACATTCAGTTGATGGACTGTGTCTTACACACACACACTCTCACACACACGGCAGTCTTCCTACCAAGCCATAAAGCCCAACACCAGAACTGAGACACTGACCAAACAGAAAAGGCATTATCCAGATTTAACTGTCAAATTATGCTTCTCACATCCCTAGACACAAATCATCATGGAGCCAGGTTTTCTTAAGGATAAATTGGGGAGATCAAAATTTCCAGCCCCTCCATTTACATCAGAAGCACTGATTGAGCTGAACTTGCAGGTTGCCTGTAACCACAGGTGGAGAGAGGCGGCTACAACTGGCTGAAATGAAGTTGGAGGATGATTCCAGAGATATCGGTGTGCTAATTCCTAGAACCTGTGACTCAGTCACCTAACAGGAAAGGAAGCTTTGCAGATGGGATAAAGGTTAAGGACCTTGGAGGTAGTAGAGTTCACTGGATGAGCCAGGTGATCCCAATCTAATCATGGAACCCTGAAAGCACAGAACCTACCAACCTGTGTGTGCCAGAGAAGTTTATATGAGGAGCTCACCAGAGTCAGAAAGATGCCTACATAGCTGGCTTCAAGACAGAGGAATGGGGCTATGTACTTAGGTGTGCAAGTGGGTTCCGATGCTGGAGAAACAAGAACTAGCAGAGGGGAATGCAGACTTGCATGGGTTTTAGCCAGTGAGACCTGTCTCCAACATCTGACCTACAGAGCTGTAAGGCAGTAAGTGTACGGTGGAAGCCACCACAGCTGAGGTCTTCTTATGGCAACAGACAGACACCTGCTGTGATCACAGGTACTCAGGAGCTATGCCCAGCATGGAGGAGGGGAACTGGCAGGAGAAGGTATCTGGAGAGAGCATGAGGACTCCTGTCACCTGCACAGGGAAAATCATCACCCAGAAATTCCCATATACTCTGGTGGGACATGTAGGGACTCAGAGGGCCCAGAGAACCAGCGGGCAAGGGAAGGTCTGGATAGGAGGAAAAGCCACACAGTGCATCAACTTCCCATTGAAAACCAAGTCACCCAGACCATGAACTCTACTGTCATGGAGCATAGTTGCCAACAGGGCCCCCAATGACGGGACAAGACCTGCCCCTGCCATGCCTCAGCTGACCACACAGGTGCTCAAGGACCAGCTGAGCCCCGCCTCCCCAGCATGAGCAGCTATAAGGACTAAAAGGAGAGCACAGGAAGCCTTTCCCCAACCTCCCCAAGGCCTCTGCATCTCCTCCACCTCCATGCTCACCCCTGGGGAGGAGAGAGGCAGGTGCTGACCAAAGCAAAGGCTCCATCCACAGTCAGAGTCTGAGGAGTCTTCAGGGAGAGAGCTTTACTTGCTGGTTACAGGGAAGGCAGCGTGGGAGCAGTGGACACAGGCACAGGATTAGAAGGTTTACAATAATAAGTAAAATGCATTTCTCCTGTGGTGATAAGTTTGTGACCACCATCCACACCTGCATAGGTTCATTGAGAGTAATTCACATTTCCATCTTGGTTGATTTTCTTGATAGGAAACAAAATCACAGAAAATGGTGGGGCTGGTCCATGTCACCTCTGGAAGAGAGTGAATGTTTCATTTACTTGTTTTTCACCAAGACATTAGTTGTCAGCAGAAACTGTAAAGTTCAGTGCCATAACTGTCATATGTGAAGAGGAAGAGCAGGAGGAGAACAAAAGGAAAGAGAAAGAAAAGGAGGAGAAAACAGAACCAGGGAAGGGTTAGTTTTTGAGAGTACAACACATCAAGTACTATTTAATAGATATCAATGCAAAATACACTTAATTTTCATAAGAAATGTGTAAGTTAGGAATTGTTTTGATTTCATAAATAGAGATCAGACATTTTTCCAATTGTGAACTAGCTATAGAAAGAATTTGTTTTTAATGTAATAATGGTGTTGGTTCTTACAAATCAAATGGATACAAGACACAGAATATGTATATTAGAATACACGATACATTAATTCAGCAGAGAAAGGGTTATGGTAAGAGAAGACTGTAACATCATCACCTTTATAAATAAGTCCCCTGGAGATGCAGATTCTATAAGGTGGCTCCCTGTGTACCTGCTGCCCAGGCCTCCTTCCCCTTAGAGAGGGCCATGACTGTTTCTCACAGTCCGGGTCCCTGACCATGAGCAGAAGCATCCAGACCTGGGATGGGGGAGGGGGGCACATTACACAGGGCCAGAGAGCACAGCTCCTCCCGTCACCACAGTGACCCCCCAACTGCCCTAGTGTCTCCCTTACCCTGTTCCTTCCCTACCTGCTGCTGGAAGATTGAAATGTTCTCCTTATCAGAGGCAGCTTCACTAGATGCTTACTTCAAAATGACTTTTTTTTTTTTAAAAAAAAGATTTATTTAATTTACTTGAAAGGTAGAGTCAGGGGTGGGGGACGTGGAAGAGGGGAGAAATAGATAAAGAGGGGGTTCTTCAATCTGCTGGTTCACTTCCCAAATGGCCCCAACAGCTAGAGCTAGGACAGGCCAAAGCCTGGAACCAAGATCTTCCTCCTGGTTTCCCACATTGATGCAGGGGCCCAAGCACTTGGGTCATCCTCTGCTGTTTTCCCAGATGCATTAGTAGGGGGCTGGACTGGAAGTGGAGTAGATGGGATTAGAACCAGTGCCCACATTGGATGCAGGCACTGCAGGCAGTGGCTAAACCTGCCACATGACAGTGCAAATCCCTTCAAAAAACTTTTAAAAATATGTTTGTTTATGGCCTTGGTTTGAGTTGCGGCTGTTCCACTCCCAATTCAGCTCTCTGCTATGGCCTGGGAAAGCAGTGGAAGATGGCCCAAGTCCTTGGACCCATGCATCCACTGGGAGACCTGGAGGAAGCTCCAGGCTCCTGGCTCCAGATAGGTGCAGCTCCAGCAATTTTGGCCATTTGGGAAGTGAACCAGTGGATGGAAGATCTCTCTCTGCCTCTTCCTCTCTGTGATTTTGCATTTCAAATACATTTATAAAAAATACAAGTTTGGGGAGCTTATGTTTAGCTGGCAGTGGAGATACCCATATTCCACATCAGAGTGGCTGACTCCAGCTTTTTTTTTTTAAATAAAAGAGAGGAAAGATGGTGGAATAGCAACAGGATGGTCTGAATCACATGGGGAAAATTAATATTTAAAAAGGTGAGAAAATACATTCCTGAGATAAAGCTGTGGGAAATTCACTACAGGAAACTCAGCAAGAATAGCAGAGACAGTCCAGATCACTCCAAAAGAGCAAAAACAAAACAAAACAAAAAACAAAAACAAACCAACAAAAACACACACACATAGACACACAGTGGAGGCTTGAACCCTAGGAAAAGGGAGCCAGCCCTGGCAGACCAAGTGAGAGGGGAATCCACAGGTCCACGGAACTGCAGACAGCAGTGGGAGGGAGTGCTTGGAAAACTGCTTTTGAAGTTCCACACAGGAAAAAATAAAAAATAAATAAATGAACAAATAGGGAGGTGGTGCACCTCTCTTAATCTTCCCTCCACCTTGTAGGGACTGGCAGACAGCCAGGGGAAACCATTCTGCTTCTTTGCTTGCCTTTTTTTTAGTTTTAGACACAGGCAGGTGGCTGCCACCCCTGCCTCCTGTGTGTGTGCCCCGAGCAACACTGGGAGTCATCTCATCCCCCACCCAAACAGCGAGGGACACAATTCAGATGAACTCCTTTGGCCTCCATGTAAGCTGGATTGAAGGGGAAGTCTCACCTATGGAAAGCTCATATCCACCCACCAACATTGAGAAGCGAGCTGGGTTCCAGTAGGCAGGGGGTCTCCTCGCACATGCCCAAGGCTTAAACACACCTATAGTAGCTCATAAAAGAGGGAACCCTGCTCACAGGAAAGATGCCACAGATCAAAGGTGCAGTTCATTAAGCAGTATGAACTAATGCTGAACACACCAGGAACTAACACTGGGGCATAACACAGCTGTGAGGAGAAGGGAAGGTCACACCAACAGAGGCAAAAACTCTCCTCCATCCAGGAGAGCTACAAAGAAGAAACTTAAGAATAAGGAAGACACTATGAGCCTCCCAAAGAAACTCTACAACACTTCAATAGTAGAAAGTGAAGATGAAGAGATTGAGAATATGCCAGAAATGGAATTCAGAAAATTAATCATCAGATTACTTAGAAGCAATCAGGAGCAAATTCATGAACTAAATGAATTTTTCTCATCAAATTGAGATATTAAAGAGAAATCAGAATGAAATACTGGAAATGAAGAATTCAATAGATCAAATAAAAATTCAGTGGGATGTCTTAACAACAGAGTAGGTGAGAGAGAAGAAAGAATATCAGAACTAGAAGACAAATTTCTGGAAATTTTATATACATATTCTAAGTCTTAGGAGAAAAAAATCTGTCAACCCAGAATACAGTACACTGTAAAGCTCTCATTTATGAATGAAGGTGAAATAAAGATCTCCCATAACAAACAGAAATTGAAAGAATTTCTAACTACCTGCCCATTCCTACAAAAGATGCTCAAGTATGTGCTACACACAGAAACACAGAAATAAGAACGTGGCTATGAAACAAGATGAAGGCAGAAAATCACCCAGTAAAATTACAAAGAAAACCAAGAGTAAAAAATAGAACTATTAATGGAAATACGGCAGAGTAAAGTCATTACTTAACAATAGTTACCCTGAAAGTAAATGGTCTCAACTCTCAAGTTAAAAGACACAGACTGGCTGAATGGATTAAAAAACAAAACCTATCTATTTGCTGCCTATAGGAAACACATCTCACCAACAAACAAGCATTGAAAGTGAGAGGATGGAAAAAGATAATCCATGCTAACAGAAACCAAAAAAGAGCTGGTGTAGCCATCCTAATATCAGACAAAATAGACTTTCACACAAAAACTATTTAAAGAGAGAAA